TCTCTCTCTCTCTCTCTCTCTCTCTCTCTCTCTCTCTCTCTCTCTCTCTCTCTCTCTCTCTCTCTCTGTCCAACAGCAGATAAATATTATTAATAATCGTTCCACACTAGAATTACACGACGATGCCAACAAATAATCGATTCGATTGTCGCGTTAAACTTGAAACTGTACAAGATATGTTGCGTGATTAATTTCCCTTATTCTTTTTTTATTAAAAAGTGCCAAGCGTTGTCGGTGATAAATTGCGATTTTACATTTCTATTCTTGGCGCGCACGTTTTTTGTATTTTTTTTAAATATAAATTTCACAATTTCATTTATTTATGAAATACACGACGAGGATGCCTTCAATCAGACACATTGAACAGTAGTTTAATTCACTTTAATGAATAATCTAGATTCTTTTATTCGTTGCGTCTCGTCAAACATGATTTTTTATATAGACCAGCCACCCAATAGAGGTTGACAAAACTATTAGACAATGGGAAATGGCTAAGTCTTACACACACATACACATATACACACACACACACTCTCTCTCTCTCTCTCTCTCTCTCTCTCTCTTTCTCTCTTTCTCTCTTACTCTACGCAGTGCTCGCTAATTTCTCACTTCCTCATTAAATCCCTCAGCGTGTATTATGTCCCCAGTTAGGCTCTAACCGCGGCTCCCCGTGGATCGTAGATCTTCATCCTACCGCAGATGAGTATTTATCTGTCCTCTTCTCATTTTATTTTAACCCCGTTTATTGTGCTTTTAATTCGAATTCACGCAGTAAAACAGCAGGAAAGAAATGTAACGAGTGGCTTGGATCGTTTTCATAAAATTTTTATGACAAATTATTAATTAACTCGCGATTAGCTTTTATGTAAAGATTTTATCAAAATACAGAGTAACGCGACGAAAATTTCACGGTTTGTAAAAGAGATATTATTTCGTGATACTTTGTCCATCTTTTTGTAATTTTTATCCCATCCACAGATAATTTACAAAGTAAAGTGGCTTTCGACAGTAGCTGCTGCCATGCGAAGACATTTGTATGGATACTTCGCTGTTGGTAGTCCTCCACTTTACTTCGTTGACGAACACATTTAACCGCCTTAATTTCTCGATTTTACCAAGATATACGGAAGCGAATGCTTATCGTTTGTTTATCCAAGTCCATGCTTCCCGCGACTCACGCCTCAAACAAGAAATGATATGCGCAACAACGCGTGTTCGATATTGAGAATTTTTGTTTTTTATTTTTTTTTTACCGAATGTCTTAATAACGTTAACATAAATTTTGTAAACTCGACAAATGATAATTTGATTTCTTGACACAATATAATCGTTCGCGAAAAGAAATGTTGTCTTCTTTTTTCTTTTATTGAAAACGTCGTGTGATCTCGCAATGTTTTATACGCTATTTGTAATTTGCAAGTAGAGAAGAATTACCAAAAACGATCATTTAAATCGTACCTCATCAATCATAATTGATTTTTTCAAATGTTTGTAACACGCACAAAATAAAATATAATCTCAAAAGATTTCGTTTATATTTCTCACTGCTCCTTTATTTCTTACATTAGATGTCTTACTGTTAGATGTCGTTCATACACAGTAATAATAAAGAGAATTGATGAAGTACGATTTAAGAGACCGGTATGATTTCGGCAACTCTCTTTTGTAATCTTGAAACGAGTTCCGAGTAACGTGCTTATAATGTTTCTAATTGGTATCGGTACAAACTTTATTTTCTTTTTTTCCTTTTTGTTTTCATTGTCTGTAATCGAAAAGTAATGTTTATCTCTTAGTTCGAGTAGCCTTATTTACTAATTATAGTGACTCCAAAAAGATCGGAAGTTATTATTTCCGGAGGTGAACAGAGAACGCGAGGCTACATTAATTTTCGAGAGCGAACCAAAAAATAAAAGGGCCTCGAACAAAAGAAATTCCTGCGATATTAATTTGTCGTTATCGAGCTGTGAAATTACCGGATGAAATGTAAAGTCAATCAGCTAGTGTTGATAAGATTCACCAATATCGAACATTATAGCATCCTACGACGATGCACTCGGCTTTTCAATTACAAATATTGCAAAAGAACTTTGCAAAATCAATTTACATATACACACAGAAAAATACACTAAAATACATACTGCATTCAAGAAAATGTTTCAAGTATTTTTCACAAGTTTACATACCTACAAATTTACCATAAACTCATCAAATTTGCTCCAAACATATTCTAGTAGGTTTAGCATTTCAATTAAGAATATTAATTATAACAAAAATTTGTTTTGCCTACTGCATAGAATTGAATCAACCTTTTTTTTATAAAGTTTTATATATAATATTTTTGTAGAGAAAATATAAATTCTTCTTTCGCGAGAGTAGAGTGCACTTTTCTGAAGCTCACTTTATCACGCATATTTCTTTGTGATAAATATATTTTAAGACTATTATCAAGGAAATATTCTTGTTGAACATAACTTAAAAAAAGGAAAATAAACTGAGTAATAGTTTTTCTTAGCTTTTCTTAGCTTTCTTAGCAAACACAGAATAATATTCTTCTGTGTGTATCTATTTCGATAGCGTCGTATTTTTCCGATTATGTTTAAGTGAAAAGTACGGAGAGCAGAAGGCATTCGTATAAGTTGCACCACACAAATCTGTCTTTTTCTCCGAAAGAATGCGATAGTTAAAAGTTAGAAGTGGGTCACGCACGTAAATACTGCCAGCTGGAATCGCGAAGCGTCTTCCTCCACCTACGTCGCCTACTCCGTCCGTTACTCATACGCGTTACTGGCGACTTACGAACCGTGAAACAAGCCGAAGGAGGAAACAATTTAAGCGCAATTCGCGTGGCAACTCGCTTTTCAGGTTCCGTTGATGATTTATTATGTCATCCGATCGTGCGTTTCTCAACATTTCAGAAGCTTCCTCATTCTTTTTCCGACCCTTGTCCTAAACGTATTGGAACCAGAGCGATCCCGAAACACGTGCATGGTGTTAAAGAGGCAGCGTACAATTTCCGCGCTTTTTCTCATACGAGTCTGAAACGGAAGTCCGTTTCGAGCGACAGGAACCAAGAGAAACAGAGAGACGGCGCAGAGAGACGGACGAGGCGCGAGAGAGTGAATCCGGAGTCGCACGGCAATTTGGTGACATCCGCCATCGGCCGCGCACTTGTACGCGATCCAATTTAAAGGCACGAAGCCGTACTGGAGAGAAAGAGAGAACGAAAGAGAGACAGAGATGCGCCATTCTTTCATTTGTACGCGTGCAATACGCTCCGCGTATACGCGCGTTCGTCCCATTCACATCGGACGCGCGCGCGTTGTTTTTATTTGCCGTTTACTGTCTCCTAACGCGAGTTAGGAGCGACTGGGCCCCCTGGGACATACCAGCGGAAGTACTTTCATTGTAACGAGGGACCGTCGTCCCTTCATTTTCGTCTCCAACGTCCGCGCGTCGACCATCCGCGCGTATCGCGTGGCCCCGCCGGGGCTACCAATCATAGTCGCCAAGTTAGAGTAAAATCTGATAGAGTTCGATCGCCGCCGGTGAGAGTTCAGGCTATTAACCTTTCAAGAAATTCGTCTGACAATCACCCTATCTTGCGCACGCAACCTGTAGAGCGACTTGTAACGACATACATCAACAAGAATGTCGATTATTATGCGAGTGCACTTGGACAAAGCTTCAAGTATAGTATCGTTTACACCCTTGAAAGGTGAAGGACTGCACGATGATTCGAAGCTTCTTACCTGATCGATCTTGCACCTTACTCCACATCCTACCTCCGAGCTCGCGTCGTCCGTTCGATTCTGCAAGCAGAGAAACGTATCTCATCTTAAAATACATCAGACATTTTCCCCTGTACTCGCTTGAATGTTCAAATGGGATAAAAATTGCTTCGAGAGGGACACGTTAAAACGCATGAAATGTGCTTGGCCCACAACGTGTGTTGTGGCCAGAGGACGTCGATGAAACGTGTAATAAAAAAAGAGACGCTGAGCTCGATAACGTCAACGATGGCGCGATCGTGTTACGCGCAGGGACGGCGGAAAATAAATTGAATCGCTTGCCGTCTTTAAAAGATGTTAAACTACTACATCCGGTTCAATTGACACCCCCGTGTATCTGGCGTGTATCTGGTACGTCGTGCGAATGAATCGCCGAATATAATCGTGTCCGGGTATAACGTGTAATATTACAGATAAACGTGCGCTCGTTACGGCGGCTGCACCTGTACGTTACGGACTTCCGGGGCACAGGTGTACGTCCGGCTCTCGATGGAAACAAGAGTAATTGGAAAAGACCCGGTGTGCAGAGATACAAGGTGGAGGGACCGTCGTGTCGTGAACAAATATCGTGGCCAAGGGTGGGAAGCTAACCATAGTTGTTGCTTGTCTCTATGGGAATTTTGGAAGTTGATCCGTTTGAATGCCATCTAATTACCATAACGCGTTTCATTTCAACGCCGCTTCACCTGCCGTGCGGAATGCAAATCAACTCGTACTACGATCACGTCGCAACCGTTCGCAACTGCTGTGAGAATCGTCGCTTCCTGTCGACCAATTAGCGATACAAATGAGAAATCTATCATATTTATATCCTATTCTATCTGTATGTTTCTAAGATCCTTTATCGCGTGTTGCGGCGCTTTCTCTCGCTGATGTTAACGATATAATAATCGAAAGTTCCTTCTTTTCTTTTCTCTCTAATTCTGTTACTTTAGAGACGAACGTTGGTAATTATCGACTATAACGGAGCCAACGCCAATGACCTCGACTTTAACATATGTTATAGAGGTCACCCTTCTGAGTGACCTTCTGAAGGTTTTAGCCGTCGCTCATTATTTATTAGAAAGTTATGAACAAAAGAAGTTGCATAAAATGAGTGTAATTTTTGGACACCGTATATACAAAGACATTAAATTTATAGGCTAGAAAGGTGTCTGCCACTGCCCTAAATAAAAGGTTTTAACTGGCTCATTATTTGTTAAAAAATTATTCACAAAAAAAATACATTAATATCAACATAGAGTATATTAAGTGTAGTATGTAAACGATGTTTGTCCCTAGCCATACAACTGGGGAGCTACGCCCCTCAGACCCCCCACACCGCGACAGAAGGGAGGCAAGTCTGTTGTACTTAAGCTAAAGAGTGAGAGTTTCTCACAAAAGACTTGGCCACCTCCGCCGCGGTGCGGGGAGTCTGGGGGGCTACGCCCCAGTTAGACGGCTAGGGACAGGCACCTTTTTTATTTTTATTATTTTCTATTTATAAAACTTCAAATATAATAGGAACACACGCACACACCGCGAGCCCGCCCGGGCGGGTGGGCGAGCGCGCTTGCTGGAGAGCAGTATGTGTGTGTGTGTATAGCAGTATAGCACCTTCCTAGCGTACAAATTCGATGTTTTTGTATACGGTATCCAAAAATTACATTTATTTTATGCAACTTCTTTCGTTAATAACTTCTTAACGAACAACGAGCGACAGTTAAAACCTTCAGAAGGTCACTCAGGAGGGTAACCTGTACAATATATGTCAAGGTCAAGGTCATTGGAGATGGATCCGTTATAGTCGATAATTACCATTAATTGTTCCATTCAAAGTAGACTCTAACTATATATGAACGAATGTTTTAATCAATTGAAGTGCATATTTTCCTATGACCATAAAGTAGAGATTCACTCTTCAATTTCAAATGAAAATATCTCTGGAAAAAATTTAATGCAGTTTTCGAGCAGTTATATATTGGACAGTCATATTAACTTTTGTCTAGTAACTGGAGAATAAAACTACTTAGGATCCCCCAATCAATGCTTTTCCTGCAGTTACTATACACGAAAGATATATGAAATCCATTTATCGGACAGGAACATAACAAAAAATAAACAAAAAATAGTATAAATAAGAATGTTTTAGGTTTATTCACGATAAGCATTATGATACATGCACATTATGAAACTGAATTAATATTACCGATATTGTGTCTTGGAAGAATCAGTCGAAATATTGTATAAAAAAAACTGCTTTAATCAATAAATAAAATTCGATAAAATTTTTATCTAGCTCCTAGACAATATTCTTTTCAAATTAATGAGAATACATTAATACTAAGTAACAATACTGGATAACTGGGGAGAGCATATTTACGCATACATTTTTACTAGGAATTTACTCAACGACTCAAAGTGGATAATTCATTTTATATAAGTGGAAAGTCACTCAAATGACTTAGTGTTTACTTTATTTTTCGAATGAAACTTCATTCTAAATAATTTAGAGAGTATGTCTTGGCAAACGTTCCAAGAGTCTATCGCTGCGAACAATCGTGCGGTGTTTTACGGCAGTACGTTTAACTTGAAATTTCTGTAATTAGATAATACGCGTACGGTCACAAATTACCTCGTGCCGCGAACGAAAATTTCCACGGAAGCGGCAATAGCCCAGAATACGCCAACGTCGCCGCGTATTTTCCTCGCGCGTCCAAGCTGCCAGCACTGACGAGTTTGATGATAAGGAGCAGACGAAAGAGGGGGACAGTACTGTGTTTTCGCGCGTATTATCTCGCCTTGCGTGGATATACCAATTTTAAAATCATTTTTTTCTCCACTCTCATCTTTCGCCTCTCGTGGAAATATCTTACTTGACGCGATACTCGTTTTACTTAATACTTGATTAATCAATTTATTCCTCAATAAACTAAGAAGTTAAATGAGAAACTTTCATGATGGTCTCACTTGACAGTGCATTTTGACATGTCGTTTTATTGAACATTTATTAAATTTATTTCGTATAGACACATGTCGCGCATACTCATGATAAACGTATCGTATGGTTCTTATAGTACAGTAACTCTGTCTTTGATCATTAACAATTTGATTTGACTCCTTAGCGATTAGTCCCTCTTTGAATTCTCAATCAATGTCTATAGGCGACTACTTGTTAGTGCTTCCGTTCTCTCTCAAAGACCCAACGATATTCGTCTTATGTAGAAAAAAAGAGAGAGGAAACCGGCAGCTAAAGAGCAGCTTTTCTCGATCTAAGGTAATTGCCTGATGCATAGATGCCCGTCCTTCCGCACGTCCTTCCGTCACGCTCGGCAGCGCCGGCCAACTGTTGCTTCTTCCCGCCAAACCGACGTAATCTTAAAGACGGAAATAATAACGGGTGTCGAGAAAAGACACGGAAGCATTAGTTTGTTAGACCCGATCTACAATAGATGGAGTAAAAAGTAAAAGTAGGAGCAAGACGAAATGAAAATAATTTATTTCGCTTAGGTCCGATCTACAATAAAGTTTGTCCGTCTACATCACATGGAGTAAGCCTGAATTAAGTAGTAAGAGCTGGAGTAAGGAGCTGGAGTAAGCGAAATAAATTATTTCCACTTCGTTTTACTCCTACTTCTACTCCTTACTTCATCTATTGTAGATCAGGCCTTATTCACTTTCATCCTAGCGAGGAAGAGATACTGAAGAACATACTTCTGCGTGTGTATGTATGTGTGTGTAATTACGAACACTACATTATATATGTAATTTCTTCTCTCTCGCTTTTCTTCCTTTTTTCCACCGTCGTTAATTTTAAAGCTGAGAAGTGCAATTGATGATTTTTCACTATTTCAATACGTTAGAACAAAGTGTAAGAGAGGACGACGAACTCGCGTAAAACCTGATATTCGTCAAAATAATACTGCAAAATAATACTGCATGAACGTTGTTATTTTGCACGCACACCCGCGGCACGCTGTTTCAAGTTTAAGGAAAAGGGTGTCGGATTTTTTCTGCGGTCTCCAACGGTCGCACGGTGTTGGGTGTATACCTGCCAGTGTTCACTCGGTTGGAACAGTGATTTAAGATCGAAATTTGCTTCCAGCGATCGAATCGTGCCGATGTCGAAAAGAGACAATATACAGACCCTCTCTTGAGTATAACAATTTTAAAATGAAGAGAAATATGAAAAATATGCCGTAAAACCATTATCATGAGAGAGAGAGAGAGAGAGAGAGAGACAGAGAGAGAGATGTTACCATTGAAAGATATCTTTCATAATATATATGGAAATAACTATGCAATAACTATGGAAGATTATATAAAATCTCTAAAAGTTGACGTGGTATATACAAAATAGGCCAATAATTTAATTGTGAAAAGATTCCAGGAGAAAATTTAAATCATCATTGACTTTAAGGGGAAATTCTAGTTTAAATCCTAAGAAAAATGAGATGACGTTTCGTCTTATGTGAGATAAATCTTCCTCGTTTCCCTCGTACTGACGCATCCGAAACTGCAGTTATATATACGGGCCTACCCGCATCTACTTCATTAAACTTAGAATAATAATTTTTCTCAGAGAGTAAATAGAAGGGAACCCTCACAAAATGTTGTGTCAGTAAGGCATTCTGTCCCAACGACAATCGTTGTTGAAAAAATATCAAGATGTCTTGATTTCCCCATCGATATGATCGATATGTTTCGGAAATGATAAATTACTGATTTATAATTTCAAACATTATGTTCTTTTGCACGAGTGGATATGTTTTTACTATCGTCTGATTCATAATCAAGAGCTAAAACCACGCAGATATGTACTGACTGTATATATGTACACATGTAGATTGTATCCCGAGTTATTCGTTGAATTTTTCAGCGCAAACAAATCCTGGGAAACGCGACAGCTAACCGACTTTCGACTGACGTCATACCAATTAAAATGGATACATACGAGTATGTATCAAGTCACAAACAGTTTCGGACGGGCAATTGTTTGATGCGGCTGTATCTAATTAAACTCCGGCCTCGTTGCGAGAACTAATTAGTAAAATTGTACCAATATTCCTCTATTTCAACTTGAATATTTCATAGAAATTTTATCACTCGCGGAACTTTCTCTACTCAAGAAAGATATTTCTATCAAATTGCACCAAGCAACATTTGGACAATCAATATAAATCGCGTTGCAAGTTATAAATAATTTGAAAAAGTCGTATTGTACAAACATATATTTTGTTAGATTTATATTGTGATTAAAGCAGAATTCGCACGATCGATGCGCCATGAGGCGATTCCCTGCCGCGTCACGTTATAGTTAAGAGGATGTGGTCGACAGGAAGTTCATTGTGTATGGCTACACATATAATGTTGCATGCTGGGCGATCCTGCAGATTCCATGTAACGTCAAAATCCACGAATCCGCTATATCTCGCGTCTATAATACATGATAAAAGAATTAAGAAAACTACTATGATATTCTTCCATATTCAATTAAAGTTCTCTCTTCGAGCTAATCCCAAAAATCCATCTTTACTTAAGTCCATTCACTTTCTATTTACAAGACAACCTTTACAACGATTAATTTTCTCGTTCGGGTCGGATAGACAACTTTTCTCTGTTTTATCCTTCTTTATTATCTCTGATTGATATATTTAGACTCCACTTTATAATAGATTTTGTTTGCACAATTAAGTTAACGAAATTGCGATTCGTTCACGTGAATGTATTATTAGGTGAGTGTTAGATAAAAGCGACTACCGTCGCCGTGTCGAAGGACGATAAATTATTATTACGCAAAGTAAAAGTTATCGTAATGACTCTAGATTAGAAAGCTAGGGCCGACGTTTGAGAGAGGCAGAGCTCGGAAAATGTCTTGCTGTTATGCAAGCCTAAGGTCATTCTCTAAGCATCACCCTGAAACGTGATAAGAACTATATTGCTGATATTCGTGTGTTTGGTAAATAACGCGGGCGCCTTTCCAGTCATTTTTAAGCGTCTCTGCTTCGAGAATTAGTACGTTGATACATTGTTCTAAATAGAGTAACATAATGTGTATGTAACAGCCATGTGTGAGTACTTTTCTCGAGTTTCAAGGAATACATTTATAGTTGAATGGTTTTAAAGAGGTTCTAGCGTTTCGCCAAATATAAACTAAAATATGTATGTGATAAAAAAGTTATAATTTAACTAACGGTGTGTAACAGAAATTTCAATAATCTTTACCACAATTTTTCATGATATTTAATTGTAAAGTCGTATTATGCAGCCATATGTGTGCAACCTCTATAATATAACAAATTTCTTATAATTTCATACATTTGTGTATAAGACGTTTAAAAAACTGTTGTAACAATAAAATAAACATTTAATATTTTAGTGAAGTATTAGAAAATAAAATCAACACTATATGAGACTAAAAAAATTAAAACTAAAAACAATTAAAGACTGAAAACGAATAAAAAGTAGTTCAAGTTGATTTTACACACGTGATAATAAAAGGAAACGATAGGTTAGCCTCGACTTTTTTCCCTGTGTGTAACACTAATATTTCAAATTTAATAGTGTAAACATAATGAAGCGTCTGAGGATCAAAAGGCGCGTGATTTAGACCTGCTGAATCCATAAATTATTTCGTATTCTCATCGGGATACTAAAAGATATTCGATCGATACTCGGCTGTTATCGCGCCGCCTCAAGAAGTTTCCCTTGATCGTTTGAAAGTCAAAGAAGAGGAAGGTGTAGATTAGAGAACGAGAGTAAGAAAATGAATTATGCATCCAAGATAAGGGATCGAACAAGTGATTTCCAAAGCATACTTCTTTTATCTGCCGACAGCGGCGGTGGCTGCGGCGACAACGGGATAATTGAAACGCCAGTACGGAAGGGTTGTGAGAGTTCGATGACTTATAATATCAGACAACTGTCATAAAGCTAATTGAAGGAAAAATGAATTCTTCCGTTCAATCGTATGCAGTCTGCATATTCATCGAAAGAGAAAATAGCATCGGAAAATAGCATCGGTATTCTCAGGAAAAGAGTTTTCCAAGTATATACAATAGTGTGCAAAATTACTTCAAACTATTAATTTCACAAGTAGAATATTCACTATGATTATCTCGGACAGATTAATGTAAAGATTGCAGTTTTTAACTGTTCAAGTTAACAGTACGGCGATACGGTATAACGCGCAACGAGTGCTATTAACAGTGAGTCCAAGTGGACTGAGCAAGGCTAAGCAAGTAAAGAGAAAAATGGTATTTTCGTCCTTCTCTGGAGGAAAGGGATTAGATGGCCCTGTATCCATTACGTGCTCGTCTTTCATCCTCGACGCTATGCTTATGGGCTACCATGATGCGTCGTCGTGTAGTTAAGTTAATTAATGAATGGTACAGTCGTGATGTGAAGAGGAGGGGAGGAGGGGAGGACAAGAGTGGACTTAAATTGATACGTCCTTCGCCGCTCGCACGCAGCCATTTTCGTGCCGTCGCTAGCACTCGACTCGCAGCTGGGGATGCGATTCGCAGAGGGAATACCTATAAAACTACCCGGGCATCGATTTGCCAAAATTGAATATCTTTCTGGCGTTATGTTATTCTCTTTAAAATGTAAACACGACAAGTTGAAAATTCGTTGGACGAAAACGTGAAAAATTTCTCATCAACAACAATCCGGACATTTTCATTTCCGAAATTTTGAAAAGAGTAGGATAATGTCAATTCTTGCGCTATTGAGAGGCGAAACAAAGCACGGGATTCTAATGATAAGAAATCTAAGCAAGTTAAAGTACGCGAGCCTTCTCGCACTTTCGATAAATTAGTAGTTCCAAGCAAGAAAAATTGCGTCCCAGTCACAAGGATGCACGTACGTGTGCTGCATCACGAAAAGTACAAGTAGGTCGTCGATGCGATAAATTGACGCGCTGACATAAATTTCGAGGATCGCGGGCCGCGCAAATTGCGCCGTGCGCTCCTCAAATATTTCTTATTAATTAATGCATTGACGCGCGTTGACGGTCCCGCGTTCTCGTCTCGAGAGCGATTGATTAGTATGCGGTGCGATGATTCAAATTGAAACGACGAATTGACGCATACATATGTACGCGTTAAATATTCGCAACGTAGATGATGAACTCGTAAGAAACTCGTTCGTTAATCGACTCATTTTGCGATATACTTGGAGAACTCATAAAGCTTATATTTTATACGATACTCTCTCCTCTAGTAGAAATTTAATATAGCTCTTACTTTGGTTGTCATCTTTGTCACAAGTAATACTGTCAAATACCCTATTTCCTTTAATTATGTTCTATGCATTTTGTAAAAAAAAAATAAATAAATAAGAAATAAATAATAAATAAAAAATAAATAAGTAATAAATAAAAAAAATAAATAAAACTGTTTAAAGTTACATTGAATAAAACTGTATCAAGTTCTTGTGTAATTCCTACGCAGTATTTTTACAACTACTAAGAATACATTAATATTAGACTGTGTGCGGATGTCTACGCAAATTGCATACATTTCTATCAGAGTTCCTAAGTCATATCAAGAGCAATAACGTTTTTGGTCGTAAAGAAAAATAATTAAGCACAAGTCAAACTTAATCGTTATTTTCGTCGTGTGGATTAATAATATTATACGTTCGTCCGAACTAGCACAGCCATACCTTGAGCAATAAACGAGGATAACATACAGTCTTACAATACGACAGTGAGATACTACGAAAGATAGCCATAAATAACGTCGATAAGCGAGACGAAACGCACGATAGAGTCTAGAAACATCGTAATCGACTCGTAATTGTGTAACACAGCGTCTTATCGGTAACCCATTAGCGACGATTTCGGTGTACAATACGGAGCTGAGTATAAATAAAAGAAATGAATCGCCATCTCGTTAATCGGATCACCGAATCCGCCAGCCGCGCTGGCAATTCTCGCTTCGGCCACGAGCGCAGAAAGCATGTTCTCTTATCTTAGCGAAGGTAGATATCTCGCATTGGAATATGCAAGTGCCACAACTTAATAAGCGATAGTTTTCCTCGCGGAGCTAAGCGCGACGAAGCGCGAACGGAAGTGTCTATCCGAAGTAAAGCTCTCCTCGAAATTCACGATGGTGAATTTTTCCTATAGTTTCTCCCTTCGCCTCGACTGCGCGACGACGAGTAAGCTTGAAGAGCTAGAATGAAGCTGAGGAAGCGGAGAAAGGACTCTTACCTGCGTGAGATCCAGGTCCGGGCATTTGGAAGCGCATTCTTCCTGGAGACTGGCCAGAACGACGTTCTCGTCATCGTCTGGCAGGAACGCGACGACCACCCCCGCTAGCACCAACACCTTCAGCAAGGCGTATAAAAATCCTGCCCCTAACATAATAGGTTCTCTCCGTGGATCCCTACGGCCGATCCGCAAGAGTCAACTTCCGCGCGAACCTCGGCCGGCAATTCGACCTCGAGCAGCGCTAATCATTGCTCCTCGACGTTCCTCTTGACCTTCCGTGAGTGATTCGTGTGCGCTAAACGAACCGATGCTTCCTCATCGCCCTTGGCCGATACTTCGAAACGCAAATGTGGCGCGCTCGACAGCCGCATCAACAAGTGCAACAGACCCAGATTGGACACTTCCGTTCGGAGAGGAGAGGAGCGGCGGTCCCGTCGCAAAATCCACTGAGCCCCGGTTAGAGCTTGTTGTCACGTGACACCGCCGTCAGGTCGTTCCGACTGTCAGGAATCCTACGCATTCCAACGAGAGACTGACGCGTGACGCGCATGTAAAAATGATGTGCTATCGCGAATGATTTTTCCCGCTGTCGAGAATAATTTTTCTCACTGCGCTTCCCGAGCGCAATCTCGTCGGCGAATGTTTATCCCGCGACGGCGCTCTTCTTTTGCACGCTCTCGCAACGAGTCTGCTCAATTTCGCGATTTTTCTCACAATCGAGCGATAAAACTTCCGATAAACGAATAATCACTTTGTTTTTCTCGATGGGAGGCAGTGACGGACGGCGTAAGGTTTATCCAGTTGCATAGAAGGCGCTGATACGTGCCTGATCGGTCTTCCTTCGTAGTTGATTTTTTGAATAGCAAAGCGGGCGATAAGAAGCAAAACGAACGATAATCGTCAAATTGCACGACACCACGTCGCAAAGTTCATTTTATTTGGCTACGATCGAGCGTAGATTTCAGCACTGCAGCCAGTCGTGTGTCCGCGTCCAAATTCAAATGCAACCGCCCGCGTAATCGATTTGCAATTCGATCCTTTCGTCATTCGCGACGACTCGAGCGAACGCACTCTCTTTCACAAATCACGATCTCCCCCACACTGAAATTTGCAATTCTCAGAGTCACAATCCGCAACTCGTTGCGCACGCACGGTCAATGTCGAGTCGGACAGCGCGACGCGGTTGCTGTTCGTTGCTGGCGAGCATAAGAGCAACTGACTCTGTATGGCCACTGGAGTCAACCATCCCCCCTCCCCTCCACCACGAGCACCCTTATCTGCTGCACTCTGGCCAATTCGCCTCGACGAAAGTACTCCACTGCGAGAGTACGTCTCGCATGGATGCGTATGGGCGAGGGTGGAACGGTCCGTTTGTGCGATACCGACTAACTGGTCAATTGGTAGATTGACCCGTTCTTACTATCCCTGCAAACTTTCATTCATTCGTTTGCACGTGCCGCTGTGACACGTTGCAAGACGGCCGGTGGCTGTCTTTGAAGATCTTGACGAATGTGACGAACACACTAGGGTCATATAGTTTAGCGAAGTAAATTAATAAACGGTGAAAAGTTAATGTTTCACTTTGGAGCTCATCGTATAATGACGACAGAAGTCGACATCAATTCTTGCATTGATGTATCAATAAATGTGCAAATGCACAATTTTGAATCGATTTCATTCTATGTGCAAAAGTATTGAGATGAGATCATGAATAAGTGAATAGATTACGAGATATTTCATATCTTGTGTGTACTAAGAAGTATCAAAATAAAATATCTCGAAAAATATACATTTTTCGATAATTTCGTAGCAGTACTTTTACATGACCAAAAAAAAATCGATTTGAAATACCATATGACTCTGTTTTAAAAAAATTAAATCTAACAGATATTTCCAAACTTATTCCAAGATCAAGAATAAATATTATCATCTTCATTCCCCCTTGAAATTATACAACTTTTTTTTACACATTTTTTCTATAATGTCCATATGTCTATACAATTAAAATGAGACACTCTCTGTATATAATTGCTACTTATAATTTTTAATTTATCGCACATTTATCTAAAACGCACTTAAAAGATGAGAAAACATAACAATTGAACAATGGCATCTAGAATCAAAATTGCTTTTATGTTTCTGTATTATTCGTTGATTTTGTTATTCTCGTAAACACATTTGTTAGCTGTGAACTCATTAAAATAGTGATTCATTTCGACAGATTAAATCTGCGGGGTCAGTCTGCATTTGTGTTGTCATTGTCAGTTACGCCTTGTTCCTTTCTTCGCGATGACCCGTAAAGCCATTCTTCCTCGAGAATGCATATCTATCGGATCGATACACACACTGAGTTCTTTTCTTCTTCTTCGCACAAACACATAACTGTGAAAGCTAAACTGACGAATTGAACCATACACTCGAAATATGCCACATCTTGTAAACCTTAACTGCGAATATAATTCGATTTAATTAATGTCTCTATTCTCGATCGCACGATGTATGCACGCATGCTTGTTTATGTGTGTGTGTGTGTGTGTGTGTGTGTATAATTATGCTTATATCATATTTCTTAAATATTTTGTTTAGACAAAATAAAATATTGTCAAATTTAGGAATCGTCAAATGTAGGAATCACCAACTGCCGCGTAATTAAGAAAACTATGCGGGTTTGAAATTCCTACTTACATCTATATTAACGTCTTAACGCGTTAATGTCTCAGCCATTGCTGAACCTCGCGACAAACGGAACATGTGCGAATTCTTCGTCTAGATACGTCATGTATCCAACAGAAATACGCCTCTACTTGCATCAACGATGACAGAGTGAAAATGATGAATACATAATTTTGTTAATCTATCGATTTGTACGTATAGCTCCGAGGGAGAGTGTTCCTCCGTGTAGAAACAACGGGATATCCCATGATAAGGATGTTAGTTTTTTCGCGCAACACGCGCGTACGATCGACCAACTAGGACGGATTAAGGATGTAACGTTTGTTGTAGGCGCATAGATCACGATGATGAGCCGTAACGAGTGTCGAGCGTGTCGAGCCTGTCGACAGGGCGATCGTACGGACGTATGGGGTATGGTACGACATAAATCGAGAGGAGCGATCCGAGAGTGCGCGCGCTCGCGCGAACGCTCGCGGCTGAGCTAGTTGGAGGTCGGAGGTGTATATTGGCCATTTCCGCAGGAAGCCCTAGGTAACCTGTAACCGCCATTGAGGTTCTAACTGAACATACCACGGATCACTATCGTTTCATAACGTGCCCGCGCGCTCTGGATTCGCCAGTACGTACGTCGCGCCCCCGAAACGCTAATTCCACCGATCTCCATTCTCGATCCGAATTCTCCGACCTTTCCAACGCGATCAGGTGATCCTTCCTCGTCGACGACGACGACGTTACGCTCGTCCATCCATCTACACTTGCGCGCTTGCACCCAAGCTGTCATTAATTCCCTTTTATCACACAAGAGTCAAAGTATCGTAGGTGCGTATATGTAGACCAAATAAGACGTATTATCCTCTTTCACAGAGGGCTTTGATTTTATATCGGCCAAACCTACTTCTTTATTTTCTTTTCACTTAAAAATTCAAGCAACAACTTGAATTTATCAATATATATATATATATATATATATATATATATATATATATATATATATATATA